ACCTATATTTTTACAATCAATATGCCCCAGCCTGAAATATTCGTGTCATCTGTGGGCAGTCTAACCTACATTTTATGAATAATATGCCCATTATGTGGATAATATGTAATAATTTTATGTAACACTATGCCCATTATGTAATAATATGCCCATTATATGCCCATAATGTGTTTACATTTTTACGAGCTCCACCGGCCTGAAATATTCTTGTTATCTGTGGGCAGTCTAACCTACAGTTTTTTTTTTTAACAATATGCCATTTATGAGTAAATATGTTAAAAACATGGCCATTAATGGTTTATGCCTTTGTCCACCGAATGTTACTGTAGGTTTAATGCTATATGAGTGCTATCTTTATGTGGGCTAGGTAGTTGTTAGCCTGAGCGAGGAAGAGCTTCCATCACCATTTATCATAAGCTTTTACTATAATGTTGTCAGTGTGAGAAACATGGACAGAAAGAGTTTAACATGTAGCCTATGTGCTCTTTTTTTTTACAGCAACAGCAGAAGTGACAGACCAGGAGGATGAGGGCATACCTGAAGTGCCACAAGTATCATACAGCACTATTTCCACCCAGTGGGAAGATCCATTGCTTTGGGACCACAACTATGGTGAACAGCAGGGTGCTGATGAGACAGCCAAAGATGCCACAACACAAACTGAAGATTTCAGCTACTCCATGCTTCAGAGTGATGCCGATTCATTCCTCTACACTGGAGTCTCACTGGAAACCTTCAACTCTCTTGTTTCCACCTTAGATGGATTTGCTGAAAGGGCTTTTGTTTTGTCAGTGCGTGATCAGATACTAATGACACTGATAAAATTGAAATTAAATCGTGTGCTGGGTGACCTTGGTAGGCAGTTTCATGTGTCTCAGAGTGTTGCCAGTAAGGTTATCTCCTTCTGGATTGATAAAATGGAGGAGGTCTTGCGCCCTCTTATTATCTGGCTCCCAAAAGAAACCATTAAGGCCACTATGCCAACTGCATTCAAGAAGTTTTTTCCCAACACTACCTGTGTCATTGACTGCAGCGAAAGTTTATTACAGAAGGCGAAAAATCTTGACTCTAGAGGGGAGTCCTACAGCCATTACTACTCGCACAACACAATCAAATACCTTGTTGCTGTTGCCCCATGTGGCTTAATCATGTTTATCTCAACTGGATATGGAGGACGTGCCAGTGACAAATATATCACTATGAACTCTGGTATCTTGGACTATTTAAAGCCTGGAGACGAAGTCATGGCAGATCGTGGGTTCTTGGTTCGTGATTTGCTGTTTGAAAAAAGGGTCAAATTGGTTCTGCCTGCTTTCACTAGAGGGGGTGCCCAGCTAACTGAGGAACAAGTCACAGCATCTCGCAGGATTGCAAATGTTCGGATTCATGTTGAGAGAGCAATCAGACGACTTAAAGTATACAAGATCTTGTCTCAAGTAATACCAATAAACATGACCCCCAAAATTGAAAAAATCCTCAGAATCTGTGCGGCCCTCGCAAACTTAAGGGGTGATCTCATCTGTGAGTAATAAGTGAAAACAGTGATGTTCTGAGGTTGTAGTTTCATCTGCACACACACACACACACACACTTTACACATCTACATAAATTGCTCCTGTATATTTCATATTGACACTCGCTGCCTTTTTTAATTTTTGACTGTTTATATTTACTCTTTGTATGAAATTTAGCCTGAAATGGTTTTGGATAGTCATGTTAATTCAAAAAATCTTGTATAATATGAATTACTGTTTTTTTTATATTTTTTTTATATATATATATATATATATATGATATTTGTATTTTTGTAATTGAATTTGTCATGAAAATAGCTTTGAATGCTGATATGGCATTAAATAAAATAATCTGAATCTGTAAGAAATTTGTTGTTATTATTTGAGTTTGTGTACAATAGATTTTATCAGATTTGCATACAATTTTACATGAACAACATTATGTATTCATAAATATTCACTTATGTACAACAATACTTATGCTCAGCATTTTTACATGTATAAAATTGTTTGGGTAAAAAAATTAGTTTTCATACTGTTAACAGCAGCAGCACCTAACAGTTGTTTTGTGATTTGAACTAAATGTTTCTGAGGGATATTTTCTATTAATTCATTATGCTCATGTATCTGTTCTGCAGTTTCAGTCGCTGACCAACAAATTCATCCACAAGCTGGGGCAACATTGTTGAGAAATAAAATCTCTTCAGATGTCCTACCCTCTCCAGAACATAGGGCTCATCAAATGGTACAGTGAACATAACTGTGTCAATTGGGCTCCAGATAAACAATTTGGCCATCTTCAGACCGGCACAAAACATGCCTAATTGTATCTGCATGTAATATCCTCGACTACCGGTTTTCTGAAGTTGTGGTACTCCATCTACTAGCTTGATGTCACTGCAGTTATGGTCAAGTTGATCCAAGAGGGTAGAATGGAGTTTACTTGGGACGGGACATTTTATTTCGAGTAGGACAGATGAGTCAATTACCCCATCTGGGCTGGCTGACAACCATGGCTCTGTGACACTAACAACGATGCCCCTGTGTGTAATACTCATGCCTTGCTCTCGAAGTGCATTACCAGCAACCACCTCATTCTCCTTACCATAGTTTGTGGCATAGTTGCCACGAAAGGAGGGGTACAGGTGCTCTGCCATAAACTTATCAGGATTGGTGGATGCTCTAGAAGGAACCTTTTTAGCTGAACTTGCAGTTATTCTCAATTTTCTTGCATTGTGCCACAAATCGGAAGAACTCTGCTCCCTTGTTTCAGATTCTAAAGTAGAAGCCTGTGCACAGCTCACTTGAACATACAACTCATAGAAACTTTTACATGTCTCACATGTGAGATCAGAACCAGCATGTGTTTGATGGGGTCTTAAAAATCTTGCATCTACTGCAGTATTTGCAAGGCTACAAGGTTGCTCTACTGGTTTTACACTGTAACACTTGCCCAATAGACTGTTTTTTAACAAGAAAAGTGGCTTTGTTGGGTCTTTGTCTACATTATTTATCAATTCTGCTTGTGACATATATTGTGGGGTGTTTGGTAATGGCTGAGCACCTGACACACTAATGCTAAATTCATCTCCTGCCCTGTGGTGGCTGAAATTTATGTCCCTCAGTCGTTTTGGCTCAAGGTTCCTGACTGTCCCTGCATTCCACCTGCGCTGCTCATCTGTACATGCAAGCCCTGTCTTCCCGGTAGTAACTGCATTCTCAACCTGTCATGAGCACATTCACCTAAAACGTTACCAGAATCTGCTCTATATGCTTTTGCCATGTGTTTCAGATTGTGTCATCCCCACATCGCTAAACTAAATCGAAAAAAACATGCATCAAATGTGATCTGATCAAGTTATTTTTTATTAAATCACAGATAAAAACAAAATGAACTTTTTTCTTTTCTTCATACCTTCCAAAGGATAGCTGATGCATGACTGCACGATCGCCCTAATCCAGCAATACATGAACATCCGGCAGTCTCTATCACCCCCGACTGCTGCAGCATAACCCAAGCAATAAGCTTAGGCTGATTAGCACTTTGACTTCTGTCTACCTCTGCTTTCAAAAATAAATAGTCTCCGTGCTTCAGTAAGGAAATGCGCCCGACTTTATTACTAAAGAAGTAATTGAAGGCCTCTGTGCTTTTGTAATTGCGCATCTCCTCATGATCTACACCCTCCGAAAAAAATAAATAATTAATAATGTCAATATGGCTAACTCCTGGCCAAAGCTTCATGTCATCCACCCAACCTGTCAATTTTGAGGGATGTAGCACTCTGATACGGTCGCCTTCACGATCTTTTGTGATTTCATCAGCGGTGTGTAGCCACCGACTACTTCCCATCTTGACAGAATAATTATCTTATACTTTAATAACTACAATCTATCACCGCAGCCTTTACGCGAGTGCTAGCATTCTATGTAAACAAACACTTCAACCGGAAGTAGAAAACCGTTTAGTCAGTTGAACCCGCTATGAATCATGGGAAATAGAACGGGCGAAGAATAAGGTGGATATTTACTATGCTCCGGTCACTGCTGAAGCTGATTCGGCACTTGTACATTTCCGCACTCGTTTGACTTGCGCCTGGCGCTGAGGTGAAGTTGGAGTGCGCGTCTGAAAAGTCTCACGTTTTTTGTGGTCGTAAGATACGGTTCTGTGTTTTAAAAACGCAATTCTTGTAAAAAAAAAAAAAAAAAAAGAGACAGAGACAGAGACAGAAACGGCAGTTGTGAGAGGGGTGGCCAAAGGGGTGGCCAAGCTTAAGCCAAGGGTGGCCATGGCCACCCCTGGCCACCCCCTGGCTCCGCCACTGCCCAAAATATATATTTTTAAAAAAGTTACTATACCTACCTGTTTTTACTACCACAACAAAAAGCCAGATCAAACGTTTCAGGGTCGTTTTATTATGTAGCTACATACATTTGAATGAAACGTTACAGAAACAGACAATACAACCATGCCGATTTAAAACATTTTGAATGTTATTTATCTACTTTTTAGTAGACAACATCAGTGGAAAACCTGTCAAGTAGCCTATAAGAAAAAACAGAAGTAGAACTATGGTATGCCGGTTATTCAGATTACATATAACCAGTCAGAAATATAAGACGACAACACTAAAGAGTCATATTTGTTCTATATTCCTAAAGATATAGCGGCGCCACTCGAGGTGACGTGCTAATAACGTCATAACAACGTTTCCGCAACGGTGTGAAATTGCATATTTATTACACTGAAAAAACAAACCTTATGCCATCTGTCATATTAAGAAGGCTACATTGGATAAAAACGTATTAGAATTTTTTTTTTTAATCTTAGTTAGTTGTGCTAACCGTATGACATAATCTCTGGAGATAAGTTGTTTGATACAACAAAAGTTTGATAGGGCTTTAAGACCAAGAGTTCAAACAACCACACGCATACATGAGCTGTCGACTGTCGTTGATTTTCTGTGCATGCACTGCGCAAAAGCGTACCTGTGTTCTGCAGAGAGAGTCTTCTCTTCTGGATGTTCACTGATCTCTCTTGAGAGGTGTCATGAGCACTGCTGGAATCAGTCGCGTGTGTTTGCCGCACCGCCAAAAGCAATATAAACACTCCTATAGTCAGTGGCACACGCATGTCTCGTGAGGGTGATGAGAACGCTGTCTAAAACTGCGAAGATCTTCAGATCACTGTGGCATTACCATGGAGAACACAGCCCATGCGGTGGAGGGAGCAGAGCCGACGCGAAGTGAGGATCGGGGGTGTGTGGATGCTGACTATATTTCCTCCAACTCATGTCAGTTTGGATGAAGGAGGTGAGCAGGTGCTGACCAATCACAGACACCGGCGAGGCGTCCATTCGAAGTTCATACACACCGTATAGGGGAAACCGGGGCTAGTTGTCACAGACTGTTATAGTTGTATTTCACTAGTTATAAGGTTTGAGTGAGTCAAAACCCCGATTATATTTGTACAATTACATTTTGAATTATAAAAAAACTCTAAGATAAAATTTGATTAATGTGATATAGTTAGATATAGTTTTTCTTGTACGGTATGTTAATTCGGGGCATGTTGTCACACAGTTCATAGGCTATATGTTGTATTAATACTATACTATATACTATGATATACTATATACTAGACTATAATTAATTAACTGCAAATTCTGCTGACCAAACCATTGCTTTTTGCGACTTTTACTGTTTTGATTATTTGTGCTGTTGTAATTGGTTTGTGTTTCCCTTTTTTAGTGTTTACATTTTCCTGAAAAGATATTGAATAGTCTATATAACATGGGTTTTCAAACTGGGGTCCAGGGACCTTAAGGGGGCTAGGGGGTCCGTGAAAATGTTCAGCTGTTCAAATATTAATAATAATACATTTACAGAATTTGACAATTCCATTGTATTCTGTTTCCTAATTACTGGTCTGTAATAATTCGATTAATTGACAGTTACTTTGTTTTGTTTTTTTATGGTTCTCTTCAGATTTATACAACTTACATTGGTGGGTAGAAAAAAGGATACAGATGTTACTATATTTTCCAGATAATATTGTACACATTTCTAACAATTTGTTACTGTATATGGGTCTTTAAACATTATTATTATTATTATTATTAATTCAGTATATTATTCGTTTTTACAAAGGGAACACCATATTTAGGTGTCATGGCATCAAAAAGTTTGAAAACCCAATGGTCTATAATACATTTCCTAAGCAAGGAATCAAAAGAATGATAACTAGCCTCGGTCTTCACTAATGTCAGGGTTATGGTAAGGATTAATTTAGTTTTGGCTCCGTTTTCATTGTTCTCATTCACTGTTTTCCTGAGTTCTTGTTGCAAGTTTGTATGCATTGATTGAGTTTCTGATTGAGTTGCGCACCTGTTTCTCGGTACGTTAATTATCCCTTTGTGTATTTAAGCCTTCAATTCTTTCTGTTCATTGTAGGGTGTCATCTTTTGTTTGCAACTGGAAAGGCTTGTTATTCCCTTGTAGTTCTCCTGAGCGTTTGTCTAGTTAAATAAAGACTGTTACTTTGTATCTTCGGTGTTGTGCATTTTGGAAAGCCATACCATAGCTTGACAGAATACCGAACCTCAAAAAAGGATAATAAAAACAGCTATGGATATACCTGCAGTGCGCCTGCTCTTGCTTGAACAGGGGGGTCGCTCCCTGGAGTGTCACACAAGGGATATTCTCGATCTGGCATTCCTCAACCACTATCTCGGCCGCTCATGGTTATGCGTCTTCTTCATCAGTCAATGGCACGCCTGCACGTGGAAGGTCCTCAAAGGAGCTTTGCCGAATATGTGGAGTGGGTCCTGGTGACTCGCAATTCACTATCTGCCTCGTGGAGGACAACACCAGCCCCACTTCGAAACCAGAGCCCAGCCAGATGTCAGCCAATGTCAGGCACCAACAGCCTAAGCCTGTCGCAAACTCACCTGAAATGACTAAGCCATTTTCGTTTCGGAAAATTTTCTCAGTCGGAAAAGGGTGGCTTGCCCACTTCAGATTGGTGGAGAGTTCCTGCCTCAAGTGGAGGAGTTTAAGTATCTTGGGGATTTGTTCACGAGTGAGGGAAGGATGGAACGGGAGATTGACAGACGGATCGGTGCAGCTACTGCAGTAATGCGGTCGATGTACCGGTCTGTCGTGGTGAAGAAGGAGCTGAGGCAAGGCGAAGCTCTCGATTTACCGGTCAATCTACGTTCCTACTCTCACCTATGGTCATGAGCTTTGGGTCATGACCGAAAGGACAAGATCCCGGATACAGGCGGCCGAAATGAGCTTTCTCCGCAGGGTGGCTGGGCGATCCCTTAGAGATAGGGTGAGAAGCTCGGTCACTCGGGAGGAGCTCAGTGTAGAGCCGCTGCTCCTCCACATCGAGAGGGGTCAGCTGAGGTGGCTCGGGCATCTGTTCCAGATGCCTCCTGGACGCCTTCCCGGGAAGGTGTTCCGGGCACGTCCCACTGGGAGGAGACCCCGGGGAAGACCTAGGACACGCTGGAGGGACTGTCTCCCGGCTGGCCTGGGAACGCCTCGGTGTCCCCCCGGAAGAGCTGGAGGAAGTGTCTAGGGAGAGGGAAGTCTGGGCATCTCTGCTTAGACTGCTGGCCCCGCGACCCGGCCCCGGATAAGTGGAAGAAGATGGATGGATGGATGGATGGATTTTCGTTTCGGAGCATGGTCTCAATACAATTAATTGATGGATTGAAAAAAATATCATTCCCCACCAAGGTCTCCCATCTCTGCTGGCCCCGCCTAGCTACAAGTCTCCTTTGTAGCTGATGGTTTCGTCTTGTTCCAAGTCTCTTTCGTCAAAGATGTTCTCTCCCAGCATCCCTCTCCTGCCTCCTCTGCCAAAGCCATCAAGTCGTCTCTGGGCCCGAACTTTACTGGCTCTTTTCACTCCCTTGGCTCTTACTTTGGTGGCTCAACTGCAGTCCAAATTCAAAATATCAGAGATCATTGTTCCCCCCCTCCTTCTCAGACTCGACGCTCACGCGGGTTTCCAGTTTGAGGACACACAACAGGAACGAGCACAATTGACAATGGTAAGTTGATGATGAGTTGATTTATCCGCGTTTTAATATGCTCTGATTCATAGAGATTTATAGATGGATATCGAGGCTTTTTAGGTTATCGAGGCTTGACCCAGTTTGTTTGCACGTTTCCAAGGCTACGATACTTTGTGTTCCCTGCCAACTGGCATCCCGGGGTGTCGAAATACTTTAGGGTGAACTGGCAGTGGGCGGAGTCACACAGATCAAAACAAATCGTTTCGTTTTCATTGTTCCCTGTCACTGTTTTTCTGAGTTCTTGTTGCTAGTTTGTATCCATGGTTTCTGATTGAGTTACGCACCTGTTTCTTGTTACATTAATGATCACTATGTATTTAAGCCTTAGTTATTTTTGTTCATTGTTCAGTGTCATCTTTTGTTTGCGTGTGGAAAGCCATGTTATTCTCTTGTAGTTCTCCTGAGGGTTTGTCTAGTTAAATAAAGACTGTTACTTTGTATCTCCCACGTTGTGCATTTTGGAAAGTCACACCATCGCCTGACAACTATTGTAAATTTATAATTTAATTATAAAATCCATAGTTCCTGTCTCGTCTTCTGATTGGTCAATACAATGTTCCAGCCATGCTAAAAATTCATGATATAGTAACAGCCATGACACAAAACAGCTGTTCAATATATTACTGTGCAGATTATCCTCTCCTGTTATGTAAGATTTAACAACATTCAAAGTAAACTTTGTTACTGTATAAATTTCAAGAAAAGGTTTATTAATGTTTCATTTTGTATTCTCCTTATGAATGAATGCACTTAGTTTGGCACACTCCGGCAATATGACCCATTCTTTATGGTGCTTGAATGATAAGTTTTATTCAGACAGAGCTGTGGACACTTAACCAATGTAGAGTTATAAACGTTTATGTACTTCCAAGCCCAAAGTTTATCTTGACTTACTCTGGAGGGGGTCATATCCCGCCATATGCCCAAACCCCTTCGTAATGTGTACCCTAGTCATATGATAACACAGTAATGCAGCCTCCAGCTATCAGGTGGCGAGTACACATGTTAAATCTATTAGATGGACCTAATGGGATTTTTACACCCAGCCTCAATTAGTCAGTTATATAACCCAAGAGTGGACCAGGACCAGGCCTGGACTTCTCTCATCCTTCACTGTCGTCGCTCCCCCTTTTATGCTCCCGTAGCTCCTCCGTGAGCAACCCGATCTCATGAAAGGCGTCTCTATAGCACGCATTGTATTTATCGCGCAATTTATTTGTGAAAATTAGTATGTGCATATGATACGGTAAACCCTTTGGGCAGGATTAGTGGTGTGGGCTACGTGCGTATTACACGCCATAAAGTGCATATCATATGCATGTAAAAACAAATTTATGTTTCAAAAAAATGTTTCAGTGTTACAATCAATGTGTCAAAGTATGTCCACATTGCAGTAATTTAGGCTAGAGCTGTAAGAAATGAGGTTAGTAAATGTCATGTATTCAGTTAAGCAGACACAGTGAACAGGCTGCGATTACGGCTTGTGATCGCATGGGATTATTGCTCATTGCAACAGTGTGCACATTTTCTCAAACAGAAAACTTCCGAGAGAGAAGTTGTGAACCGAATGCAGTTTTGTTGCCGTGAATCAAACTTATTTACACTATCAATGGAAGTCACCGCACTGTTTTGCTTGAGGTGTATAACGGATGATCTGTTTACCAAGATCTATTTATTCATTCTGCTGGAGCAGTGGAGGAACGCGAGGTGAGAGGCAGATGAATGCTTTCGCTGGGGCCTCTTGCCAAACCAAACATATCCCCTTGGCATCCTTACATTAGTGTCAGTGGCTTACATCCATAATGCAGCAGCTTCAGAAATGAGACCCCAGCTGAGGAGGAATGGCAAGCTTATTATGGGCTAAATTTGACGCAGAAATTTGCTCCTTCCAGGCTGAAATTATAATAATTGTAACCACATTTGATTTACTTAATATCAGTTATTTTAATGACAATATTTAGCACTGTGGTTGACTGTTGCTTCATCCCTGGGTGACATGAACACCATGAATGGCCTATAATTATCTGATAATAAATATTACATTTATAAGAACTGTACAACAAGATTGCATGTT